ATTAAGTTTGGTCAATTGTTGCATTATGGTCCTTATATTTTTATAGGAATGACATATTGATTAAGCACTTTGAGTTTTTTGCCCTTTTTTTTATAGGTCTGGCTAGTTGATTCATGGAATACTATGGACATGCCATGATACTTCCTTACTATATTATAAAAACAGAACCTATCATACTATGAAAACCTAATAATTTATTTTTTAATGCAAGCATAAGCTTCCTTCTGGTGGGATTTTAACAAGAGTTCATCTTCATCAAGATCATGTCATGATAAAAGCAAACAGGAGGAGTTAATAAGCTTCCATCTGGTGGGATTTTAACAAGAGTTCATCTTCATCAAGATCATGTCATGATAAGCAAACAGGAGGGGTTAGTGTATTGAATATGTTTTTCAGTTTAGTGAAGCAAAATTCTGACATTGGATAATAAGCATGTTCCAGACATCTACGCGAAACCGCAAACTTGAATGAGACAGTAGATCAACCTCCACTGGAAAGCTTGATGTGCTTATATAAAGCTTCAAGACTGATTTTCGTAGGTCGGATTTCCTTTCTCTGGTTTCTTCCTTTTTACTTATCTCTTTGAAAAATTCATCTCTCTCAAGTGATACAAAATCAAGAAAATACAATCGAGTACAGGTTCCACTTGCTATCTTGGCAAGAAAAAATAGATGAGCATGCCAGTGCCTTGCAAGAATGCAATAAATTTATTAGGTCTCTGCCCTAGAGATGACATTCAGTCGCTGCCATCTTGCATAGGAGAAGTGGCTTTGATGAGTAAAGAGAGATGAAGATCACTAGGTCGGGGTCTCTCTCTCTTTCATTGTAGGACTGGTAAGTTTACAGAGTCCAGCACTAATTTTAGCTGATGAACAGATATTCTGCTACAGGTTGTAAGTGTTTTTTCAAATATATGTATGTATGTATGTATGTATGTATGTACATACATTGTTTCAATTTGTTTCAATATGTTTTTTTACATAAAAAAATAAAGTGTAAATTAAAAGGCTTATGCAATCATTTAATTAAATAAATCAATAACTATTTATATAAATAAATAAAAAAATTATTAAAAATAACTCAAAAAATAAAAAAAAATAAAAAATGAATATAGATCAAAATATTCAGTCGTCGATGAACAGATATTCTGCTACAGGTTGTAAATGTTTTTTCAAATATATATATATATATATATATATATATATGTATGTATGTATGTATGTGCATTGTTTCAATGTGTTTTTTTACATAAAAAAAATAAAGTGTAAATTAAAAGGCTTATGCAATCATTTAATTAAATAAATCAATAACTATTTATGTAAATAAATAAAAACATTATTAACAATAACCCAAAAAATAAAAATAAAAAAAATAAATATAGATCAAAATATTCAGTCGTCCAAAATGATACAAGCACTCAATTATGTTTATTGAACTTGTTTATTTAAATTAATAAAAGATAAATTCACACCCTAAAAAACTTATAACCTAAAATATAAACACAAATAAAATTAATTGAAAAAACTCATGCCCTAAAAAATTATTACCGAAGGCCCAACAATATTATTTAAAACTAAATATTTTTTATTTAAAAAATAAAGTTCATTTGTATAAAATAAAAAAATATAGATGAATTAGAATAATATCTTGAAAATAAAACACAAATCTAAAAAAAAAAACTTATATTAAAAAATGACATTAAAACTCGTGATTTAAATCATGAAACTATGATAAACTCATAAAAAAGTTAAAGATAATCATGAAACCAATATTTTGTTTAAAAACAATTATGCTAAATTACAAGATTGCATAAAATCGAATACCTAACAAATCAAACGTCAAAAGATAAAATATTAAAAACATCAGATAGACAAAAGAATCTAAAAAATTAAGGGTGAAAAAAAAAGTTAATTAGAGGAAAAATTAAGATTTTCAATTGGAGGGTTAAATTAAATTGAAAAATAGCTTTAGCAAAAGAAAAGGCAAATCAAAATAATGAGGGTTAAATTGAAAAAAATAAAATAAAAAAAACTTTGATTAAATGATAAAATTGAAAGCTAAAAAAACTTTAACAAAAAGACCAAGAAGAAAAATAAATAAATAAAGGATTGAAATAAAAAAACAAAACATATAAGAAATTATAATTAAATGACTAAATTGAAGAAAAAAACTTCTATAAAATAAATAAGAAACGAATAAAAAATTAAAATAATAAGAATTGAAATTAAAAGCAAAACATATGAGAAATTGTGATGGAATGACTAAATTAAAAAAAGAAACTTTTATAAAAGAAATTAAAAGAATGAAATAAGAAATTAAAAGAATGGAGGCTGAAATTAAAAATAAAATATATGAGCAATTGTAATTAAATGAATAAATTGAAAATAAAATATTATAAAAAAAGAAAAAAATAACGTAATTAAATGACTAAATTGAAAAAAAAAATATTATAAAAAAAGAACAAAATAAGAAATTAAAATAATTAGAATTGAAATTGAAAAATAAAAAAAGAAAAATGGTGTAATTTATTTATTATGAGAGAAAAAAAAGAAAAAAAATGACAACCAATAAAAAAATAAAAAATAAATTATAATTAATGACAATTCAAGTATTATAAGTGATCATATGTTACTTCATGTGAAAGAAGATATAGTTGTGCAGAAAATAATAAAAAAACTAGATTTTATTATTTAATAGTGAGTTATGTATCATCTGAATGATGTAGAAATCACTTATTATTAGCATGTCACTTATCATTATGCATCACTTGAATGATGTAGAAATCACTTATTATTATTAGCATGTCAATAATATTTTTATTTAAAAATTAAAAAATAAATGTAAAAATACTAAAATACCACCTACAACCATATTAATTATATAAAATATTTTATAAAAATTCCAAAATACTCCTAATGACATATTGTGCTGGGATACAAGGATTAAAGCATGCAGCTCTTTCAAGGAATAATCTAAGCCCAAGTTCCCCTCTTTCATGTATGTTTGTTTTAATCCATCGAACATTTTTTCTCCAACGAACAATTGATAAATCTAGCCACCAACTCACCATCCATCGCCATGACTTACTTGATATTACATATTAGAATGCCAAAAGGTCCGTCCAGTAACCTGTTTGCACAGAGAGCACTCTCAGTGTCGCCCATTGGTTTTAAATTGACAACCGTTCATCTAAACTGAGACCTAATTTGTACAGTCTTCATCACATTACAAGAAACCATGTATTTTTCTTGTTCCGCTTCGTATTCAAAACTCATTTCGTCTCAAGTTGATACCCTTTGCTGTTTGTGTTTCTGGAATTCTGATCATGTGTAATGTTATATCTTAGGTGGTAATAAAGTTTAGACGAGACTCTCGAGTTTCAAGATTGATTCTATGCATGCTGTTGATACTTGAGGATTTCCAAAGGCACATGAAGTCAGCTGCATGTTAAGACGTACAGGGAATTGGCTTTAACTCCTTAGTCGAGGAGGCAGCTCATTCAAATGCTGCGTCAGGAAAGGGTCTTGGATTATGGCACGAAAACGTTCTTCTCTGTTTCTTTCTGGTAGGATAGGTAGGCTTATTACAAGCTAGATCTTGGATTACATCAGGAAGGAAATCTTTCTGTTCCATAAAGTTGCCCGTTTGGCTGATGGAATTTCATAGCTTGACTTCTAGGTTGGAGTTGCAAGCTCAAACCCTTGAAGCGCGTCTCCAGGAACATTTTAGTGATCTAATAAGTAATCCATTTTAATGGAGAAACTAAACGTTTCAGTTAACCCTGCTTTTTAGACATTACCACGCGGAGCTAGAAATTTTTCATGTCATGCACTATTAAATAAATAATTAATTTTTTAAAAAAATTAATTTTTAATTAATGTATATGAATTTTTAAAATTAACAGTAAAGTTTTAATTCAAATATATTATCTAAAATATTAAAAAATGAATTTGAAAGTATATTAAATTAAAGTGAAAGATAAAAATAAACTTATTATTGAAGTTATATCATTTGATATTTTATAAAATATAATTTATTTATAATCAAATATAAATTAATATTGTAATAACCTCTCAACCGGAATAAAATAACAATCAACAAAGTAATTAAATTTTGTTATTCTTTCAATTCCTCCTTCTCACTTGATTCTTTCTTAGATTAGTATTTTATAAGTTTATAAACTTATTCTCTTACTTTTTTTTCCTTTATTTTTCTCTTTTGGATTTTTTATATATTTTTCCTTTATTTTTCTCTTTTTCTCTCTTGTCTTTTTTTTTTCTTTCCTTTTATATTCTGCTTTTACCTAGTCAATAATATATATAAAAGGAAAAAAAAGGTGATTTGTTTTATTTTTTAATGACAAATAATCATTTTATCCTTAATGAGTTGTTGTATTTTTATTTGACAGTTTTTTTATTAACACTATGAAGGTCCATTCATCCTAAAATTTTAACCAAATTTTATTTAATATATTTTAAGATTTCTTAGAAAATTTTAATTTAATCTGATGACCGGATTAAAAATTACGTATAATAATTTAAAACTATTTAAATTGTAATTTTTCATTAAATTTCTGATTTTTTTAAAAAATTCTGAAATTTTAATCTAAGTTAAAGTATTATATTACAAGCTCCACGTAAATTTTTAAAATTTTAAAATAATTTAATTATAAATTATAAATTTTTTTATATAAAACTAATCAAAAAAATATTAATAAAATCTTAACTTGCCTATAACCCACTCCACCCCTAGCCCTTGGCATTCCTCCGCCCATGATATCACTTACCAGGGAGATGGATCAACCGTTCTTCATTCAACTGTTTGACCATTATTTCAGGATTAAGAATTTTGTTTCACAGCCCTTCCACCTAAATCCACCAATCCACGAAAAAATCAAATTTTTATGAGAATCAAGTAGAACTGTAGCTCCAAACAGGCATGAAGAACATCCTTGAGAGGACAACCAGTGATGATCTTTCATAAGTAAAAGCTCTAAGGTGCAGCCAATATGTAAAGTATAAAATATACAAATGTCTAAGATAAAACAACAGTTATTGACCCTTACTACATTCAGCTCCAGTCAGTAGTCCACAGGCAACAGCGATCAAACAGACAAGAGATGTCGGCTTAATGTTATCTACTTGACTGAGATAACATGGTAGATTGTATCACGAACTATTTACATTAACCTCCCTAGTGTGAAGTTTCTAGCATAAAATGTAACAAAAATGTGAACATCTCAAGGTCCCATTAGAATCTTCCTCATTCCATGTTTCTTTTCAGCAACGCATTCAGAATTCACCAATGAAGTTATCCAGACCTGATCTGATCTAACAGGCTCATCGTCATCGTTCCTGTGCCAACTCCAGTAGGCATGAGTTGAATTTGCTAATTTGAGCTCGCCATGGCCAAAACTTGCTTCACGGAAGACTGACCAGGCTGGCTGTGGGTTTTTGTATCTGTCAATAATATAAAGAAAATCAGATTGAGATTAACTGAGAGAGGTTTTTTAGACAACTAAGAAAGCCAAAGAACTAGTCATTTCGAAAACGTTATTTTCACATCATTTTGGTCCCATAAAAGTTTAGTAGCAACAGAAAGTTGTGATAGTGAGGAGGACATACTTGCGGGCTAAGCCCTCTCTGTTGCCCCCATCTCCAATTGTAATATGGACAGCACCACATGGATCCAGTTTTCCATTGTTTACACGTTCCTATGAAACAGATTGCCAGACAATATAATCCACGGTTCATGAAATTAAGGATGACAGGAAAATGAAAACCATAAATGCATATGCAGACATAAACCCCTAAACAATTTTTTTTCCGGTTTGCAACCCTTGAACTAATTTTGGTAATCAACATTCCTGTCAATGTAAAACCATCAAGGACACGTGCTATAGATGTTCTGTGACGAGACACAATTACAGAGATGTCTAAGCATGCTGAAGCTCAACAAAGAGAATGCCTTTAGGGGTAAGATTCTCTGTAAGAAAATTTGACTGCCAAAAACATTAAGTGATGCAAATTGGAAACTTTATATTGAAAGGTACTAGGTCATAACTCAAATAATTTAGGGGGTATCCCTAAATCTTCGCCTCAGAAAATTCTATACCATACCGTGCGTTCATAAGCATGAACATGGCCAGCCAGCACAATGTCCACACTAGCAGCATAAAGTAATGGCTCCATAGCTTCCATCATCTTGTCCCCTTCGTTTTGATGAGCCTCATTGCTATTGTACCATGGGACATGGAATAGTACGAGCAGCCAAGGTGTCTTATTCCGGTCCACTTTGGCAAGATCAGCCTGTAGATCAATGACGATAGAGAAATCCCATTATTAGAAGCAACTAAAATATGCATTTTTTTCTTATGGAGCTTTGAATTAAAAAACAAAAAAGGAGGGCAAGATAGCAATAAGACAACTATCATGCTTTCTCATGAAAAGATGGAACTTGAAGCCTTTTGCATTAACTACTGAAGGGCATAGTTCACAGTGGGGTCACTAATACGCTGCACCTTGATATCTCTAAATTGCAATAAGATGGGGTTAAGGATGATAAGATGAGATTGGCAGTATTTGATACAGTTTCACACGTTTATAGATATTGCTTTTCAAGTGGTTTCGTATCAACTAGTCCCAGTAAATGTTAAGGTAATACAGGGAAGGGACGAAAGTAAGTTCTGTATTATTTCAAAATGCCCTAAATGCCTAACAAACAAGAGAACACATGCAACTACAAGCATGGAGTCGCCAAATATCCGTGTGACGAGTCTGAAAGAGCAACACAGAGATATCCATCAACAATTATTTCCCTGATTTCATGTCAAGGAGTTTTTCGACAAATTTACATTTTCTTACCAATTTACAGAACCTTTTGTTAATAAACTACTATTTACAACTTAATACAGTCGAGGAAAGATGATAATATTGGAAAAGGATAAAAAATAACTAACCTCGAGCCAGTTATATTGATCCGAGTACTCATAATAATCAGTATATGAGCCAAGCATAATAATATGAGCCCCTGCAACTTCGAAGGAATAATAAAGATTTGAACTTGACCCACTCTCCTCAAATGGCATCTTCCATCTAGAATTGTAGGATTCAAAACCATCCTTGAGGAATGGAATGCTTTCTCTTTCATGATTCCCCTGCGTTACCATCCAAGGTCTTGCGCTGGCAAGTGGCTCAACCAGCTCACCAAATGTGTCCCAGAGGTGCTGCATGTAATCAGCGTATGAAAGGTCTCCGGGCAGCAGGTGCACATCATATTTGCATTGTTCAATATGATCTAGTGTTGATTGAGTCCAGCCAGTTTGACCTAAATCTCCAGCCACAGCAAAAGTAACTGGGAACTGAGCTGGAGGGGTCTTGAGCTTGTACTCAGGACCACCTCCTCCACATCGATAGTAATAAACTGTGTTATCCTCCAGAGGTCCAATGACTGTGTGGTGTATCTTTCCAGAGCTATAAAATAGGTAGCTATACCACGTGCTCTCTCCTAGAGCTATATTGCTGTATCTTCCAGGAGAAGTTCCATATTCCACCATTGATGCAGCAGATTTATCATCAGTCACCCATGAGACTCGCATGTGCTTGTCTCCAGCCAAAGAGATGTGCACCTACAAGAGGCATCCATGGAGTAAAAGCACTTCAGATACCAAATCAGCATTTTAAATCACCTTGAAAAGCCATAGAAAACTATCATTCCAAAACATTTCACGCACAAACACGAAAAGCATCTCCGGAAACAACTCTTCAGGGAAAATTCAGCATATGATTAAACCAAACAGACACCAGCCAAATCAACTCCAATTAGACAAGAAATCGTAGTTTCTATCAATAAAATATCAAGAATTTCAATGTAAATAAAAAACAACAACTGAACACACACACTCAAAGCAATTGACTTTTATCCGATTCAAGAAACCATTTTTGGACCAAAGAAATACCACAGAACCCAGATGAATAAACAAGAAAAACCCAGATCAGATCATTAGAAAAAGAAACAACCTTTAACACCAAAACCAACAAAAAAAACCTCTATATCAACAAAATCCAATCAACGGAACAGAAACTGAGGTAAAGAGAAAGGATAAGATAACCTGTTGGGGATGAGAAGAAGACTTTGAAGGCCTTGAAAAATCAAGAGTCTTTCGAGTTGGAGGCCTAGTGTATTCACTTGTAGCAGTTGCAGAGATTAACAGAAACAAAGCTAAGACCAGTTTTGGCTCCATAGCTTGATAATTAGCAAGTTACTATTATTGTTCTTGGCAACAATAAAAGATAGACCAGACAATTTACGATGCTGTGTTGTTTTGCTTGAACTGACAGTCACTGGCCGGGCTTGTCCTATTAAATGACAGATTTGGCCTTAATCTAGGAGGCTAAGTACATTAGAAAATGTCAAAAATTTGTCAATGACAATGATTTCCTGTGCGTTTTCTAGTGAGACTGGTAGATGATGATAAGATAGTAGTTCACATGGTAAATTTATTTCTTAAAAAAGATTTTTTTTCCTTGAGAGAGAATTTTTCAAAGCTTTTTTTCTTGAGAGAGTTTTCCTATTAACGTGTGGAGTTTGCGGGTGGCAAGAAGGAATAAATAATTATGAGCATGTAATTTTGGTACATATATAATCTACCAAGAAACTTTATTTAATATGTAAGAACTAATTAGAAAATATGTTGATGATTAGATAGTATTTGATATTATAGTAATAATTGATTTGAAAAAATTTATTTTAAAAAATTAGTAAAATAATATTTTTAAAAAAATTATTTTTAATATTAACACATTAAAATAGTTATATATAGAAATTTAATTTAATTTAATTTAATATAAAAAAAATTAAAATTTTTAAAACAAATGAATAAATCTAAAAAATCAAACATCATACTAATTAAAAAAATATATTTCTTCTAGGTAAACATTGAGATAATATCTAGAAAAACTGGTTAGAAACTTTTTTGCGTTTCTTTGCTCTTGACTTTGTTCTAATTTTCCTCATTTAATTTTATTTGTAATAATATCAATCTTTAAGTTTAAAAAACAAATGTTACGGAAAGGTGAAATGATACAATGGAACGCAACTAAATGATTAAAAAAAACTAAATAAATAAAAAATTAAAAGTAAATTATTGAAATTAACACAAATATAAGTAAAGAAGACAAATTGATACAAAATCAAGAATATAGAGATAGCATATAAGCATCTAACTTGAAATAAACGATTTCTATATAGAGAATATATCTTTGAAATTGTTTAAAAATACAACTTAATTATAAATATACTTAAAAGTATTGGTATTCTCGATCTATTAAATACACACATATGTATAAAATAGGGAGGGCGAGACTAAATTATTATAGTTATATTTATAAAATATTATTTATTAAAATAGTATTTTATTTTTTATTTTAGTTTTTTTAATTTGATCATGCAATAATCCAATTTATTTTAGTTTTTTTAATTATATTTTAATATTAAGTTGTTTTTAAAAGTGTATGTTTTAATTTTAAATTTTTCTGTGTTAAGTTACATTCTAGAATCAAAGATTTAATTTTTTATTTAACTTTCAACATTAGTTTTTTTTTAAATAAGGTTTCGTTAAAAAAAATTATTTATTTTTTATAAATTCATCTCAATTTCATAACTTATTAATAAATTAATTTAGGTTGACTCGAGTTATGAATTTATTAAGATGAAGGTGAATTATTTGGTTTACTTTTGTTTGTTTTTTTAATTGATTTTTTAGCTCGATTTGAGTTGAGTTGTATTTGTAGATTCTTTTGTTTTTAATTGATTTTTTTTTTAATTCAATCCTTCAACATTAAATTAGTTAAAAATTAAACTTGATAATTTTATTAATTTTATTTTTACGAGGTTGTTCTGATCTTATAGCTTAAGCCACGAGTTTGGTAAATTAACCCGTGTTGATTAAAGTGATTTTTTTCTTTATATATATATATATATATATAATTTTGTTCTTTAATACTGGATTGAATATGAATTATTCTTCATGATTTATTTTAATTTAATTTTTATAATATTATCACAATTTCATAACTTAAGTTGCATATTCAATAGGTTAATTCAGATTTATCTAATATATAGCTGTTTTAATTTTTTTTTAAAGAAACGCCATTTAATATATTATTATATGAATATATTTTTTTAAATATCATCCGATATATATATATCATATTTTAAATTTATAATTATTTTTTAAAAAAATACATTAACAAACATTTTTATTCATATTAAAAAAAATAACAATTATTTAGTTACAAATTGTTATTTGTAAATAATGAAAACATCACGCACGGTAACAAATCCAAATGAATTGGATTATCCAAACCTTTTGTATTCTCACAAATTTGTTTCCAAATATACAAGAAATCATGAATTTTGTTGAAATTTCAAATATAACTTGAAAATAAATTTCATTTTTTTAATTTTTCTCACATGACGAAGTATTTACTCTTTAGATTACGATCCTGATTAAAAAGAACACAAAGGATGGAGAAGAAGATTCTTGAACTACCATGGTTCATTTAATTCACAAAGTTAGCCAATATAATAACAATAGGATCAATTAATTGTTCTAAATTAAATAAAAAAGTTTGAATGAACACAACTATTAATTAATGCACCAAAAATGGATGAATGTTTGATGCACAAAATATTTTGGAGTGGCCTGCAAAAGTCACTTAGCTTTAATAATAATAACACTAATAAGTAGGTGTGAATGAATTGACTTTAATAATATAGGATTGATGCATCATCGTATACGTAAAATACAAAGTTAAAGTTCCTCGAGAGAATATATAACTCCTCAAACCCTCCAAAGTTAAAGGTTTTTTTTTTTTTTAGTCCGAGTGAAAGTTCATATATATATATATATATATATATATGTATGTATGTATGCATGCATGTATGTATGTATGTATGTATGTATACTGAAAGCAGGTTTAATGCTTACAATCTTCTTCTTGGACTTGAACTTATCAAAACGCATGCAGCACAATACACATCACATAATAAATTAAAGAAGAAACAAAGAATATATTACAATTCCCAAGCTTCAGTTGGACACCGAATTTTCGACCAAAGTGACAGCGCGAAAGTCCTATAACCAAGTGCATAATATTTTCCCATTTGAACGTATTTGGTCAATGGTTAATGAAACTATCGTTGCATTAGCTAGACTAGGATATAATTGAGTTTTACAATATCTCAAGTTTTAGATATTCTAGATATATTAAGGGTGTGTTTGGCTTAAAGGTGTAGTTATTTTTTTTTGTCAAAAATACAATATCTTTTAAGCACAAATCATATATTTAAAAACTATAAAAACATGTTTTTTACTCAAAAAATCACAAGTCACCTCCTATTCAATTAATACTATTAATTCTATAAATTTATATATAAAATTATATATGAATTATTTCTTAACAAGTAGATTTAATTAAAAAAGTCTATACTCCACTTAGATTTTTAAATGTGTTAAAAAAATTTATGACGAATCATAACACCATCTTTTAGTATGATAAAATGAGTGGAATATAATTCACATTGCAACTTAAAAATCACAAAGATAAAATTATACTTCAGTTTTTTTCATTCACAAAAACACAAACTTATGGGTTATAAAGACACCACGAGACCTTTAAAACAAAAGTTCATAGTCTTTATTTTTTATTACATATATATTTTCAGAATATTTTTTTCTATAATATTATTATATATATTTTTTTAAAATACTCATTTAAGCATTGAAGAGTCTCAACCTTTATTAAATTTTTTTTTTACAAGTACTAATTATAAAATTACTATAGTCTACTAAGCATCAAGTATAAATTAGCACACATCTTAATTAGGAAGAATGAATAATATTGCTAAAACCAATTGATCAACAAATTATCTAACATAAAAATCTTATTATTAGACTATTTGAATTTTCTAGACCTTACTAATGGCACTAATTATAAAAAATTAATAAAAAAATCATTAATTTCTTTTCAATACTTCTTTTTAATAATTTTAAACCATTCAACATACAAGCAATACTTATCTAAATTACGAGACAAGTTTTTTTTATTATTGTAAATACTTATACCCAAACAAAACTTCAACAACTTTTTAATAAAATCTTTAAATTTTTAAAAGCTTCCAACAATTACAAATAAAATATTAAATCAAATTACGATTACAACGTTTCTAGATAAAACAATATCTTTGACAAAATAAAAAGAAAAAAGCAAAGTCATCCAAACAACACGCTATTTTTTTAATGTTAGATTCGAGTATGCATCCATGGTGGAATTCCTAAATTCAGAACTCCACGTGCTAGGCGATGCATGAACTAAACTCTATATTTAGGTTTGGATTCAAAGAATGAAGTGGAAGTCATTGTCTTCTTCCAAATTTCTTTAATGAAATAATTAAAAAAAAAGAGAGGAAGTAACAATCCAGCTAGACCTGGTAATTTTGTCAGCAGATTCATTAGTTTTCTAATAAATAGTTTTTTTTATAAATTAATGTAAAAACTATCCTTTTCAAATACTTAATTCATTTAAATATTGCTTTATGTTTTTTTATCCAACCGACTAATCCTATTTTATTTAAAAATATATTAAAATAATATATTTTTTATTTCTTTAAAAATGTTTATGAATTTTCAAAATTTTAATATAACAACCTTTTTTTTTTTAAAAAAAAAAACAACTTATTAATTGAGCTGGGCTAGTCGAAAGCCCACAAATCCATCATAACCACACGCGCGACGAGCCTCCTCTCTATAAAACCCGATCTCCACACCACAAACGACCCCCTCTCTCGTTCTAGGGTTTCCTTCTCCACTAGATCTTAACCCAGTCACCACCTTATCCTCCGCCAGGACAGCACAATCCCTAATTCCAAACATGATGCAACAGCCCGGAGTCGCCGGAGTGGGGGTCCCACAACCAGATCAACAACAACAATACCAACAACAGCAGCAATGGATGATGCAGCAACAGCAACAATCGCAACCGGTTCCTCCTCCTGCTGGCTGGAATCCGCCTCCTGTTCCTCCTCCGACCCAGTACGGTGCAGCCGCCGGAAGTGGAGGAGATGGAGACGAGATTAAGTCGTTGTGGATCGGGGATTTGCAGCAGTGGATGGATGAGAATTATCTTCTTAGCATCTTCTCTGCCACTGGAGAGGTAATCCAAAATTTAATTTTGGTTTTAATTTTAAAAAAAGAAGCTTTAATTTTAATTTGTATAATTGTGTACGTGCCTGTGCATGAGAAAGTCAGTAAATTTTATGGTTGGTTTTTTAGGAGTGTGGCATTTCTTTTTTATTTTGCTTACTTTTTTCACGTGGATATATAGATTTGTGTGTATTTGCTGTGAATTGAAAACATTTTTAAGAAAACGAGAATTGTTTTGTTTTGTTTTTAATGGCGATCTCTTTTTGAGAATCGGGTTTTTTTATGGTTGATGCAGTATAAAAAATAGAGAGAGAGAAACATGGGGTATATTTGTTTCTTTGACTTGGGTTTGTGTTGATGAGAAAATAAATGGTGTATATGCACTTGTAGGAAAACGCGAATTGTTTTGTATTGTTGATTAATTGCGTTCTCTTCTTCAAAAATTGGGCTTATTGATGGAAACAATGGGTTATTGATGCAGTCAAAAAATACAGAAAGAGAAAAAGAACCACGGGGTATGTTTATTTGTTTGAATTGGGTGCTGTGTTGATGAGAAAATAAATGGCGTATGTTATAGGAAGAATTTTGACAAGTGCTATACTTGTTTTGTGATTTGGATGCAGCTTTACACACTGCTCAGCTACATTGTTGTGTTGTTTTCTGAGTTGTCTTCCTCTTGTCTTGTATAACAGATTGTTCAAGCTAAGGTTATTCGCAACAAGCAAACGGGTTATCCAGAGGGTTATGGTTTTATTGAGTTTGTAAGTCGTGCTGCAGCAGAGAGAATTTTGCAGACATACAATGGCACACCAATGCCAAATAGCGAGCAGGCTTTCCGGCTGAACTGGGCTACCCTTGGTGCTGGCGAGAGGCGGCAAGATGATGGGCCTGACTTTACAGTTTTTGTTGGAGATTTGGCTGCTGATGTCAACGATTACCTTCTACAAGAAACATTTAGAAATGTGTACCCATCTGTGAAAGGTGCAAAAGTTGTTACTGACAGGGTCACTGGACGTTCCAAGGGATATGGATTTATTAGGTTTGCAGATGAAAATGAACAAAGGCGTGCCATGGTTGAGATGAATGGACAATACTGCTCTACCAGGCCCATGCGGATTGGACCAGCTGCCACGAAGAAACCCTTGACCCAGCAGTATCAGAAAGGTATGTGTTTTTGCAACTTTGGTTGCTGTGTAGTGTAGATTTTGTTTTTTCAATTTTATTTTTTCCTGCTTACATCTGCATGCTTATATCTTATGTTGAAAATGAACATTGAATTGGTAAGTTGAATGTTGTGTGCTATGTATGTATTTTTCTTTTTTGAATTGATGTTTCCTAAACATGTTCTTATTTTCCGTGCCTCCAGTTATGCTCTTGAAGCTAGATGGGTTTTAAAGAGTCATTTCCTTCCAGTACTTACCTATGTAAACTTGGGCACATTTAATTTGATTAAAACTTGCAAAAACTTATATAAAACTCATGTTGTCTTAAAGCAGGACACCGAGAGGCTCTCATTTTGGGGAGCCTGGAACTGACTTCAGCTGAAATGATTCCACTTAAATGCGTGGCCTCATTTTAGGTCAGTTATTTTGTTTACGTCGTAAGCTTAATTTCTTGTGGCGTTTTGCTACATTCACGAATTACTTTCCAGTTCGTTATTTTCAAAGAGTTACGTGTCAAGTTAAATATGTTCTTTTTCCTAAAGATTGTTCAATTCCATTCCACAGTTCCTTTATTTATTTATATCAGACGAGAATTGTTGGTTTATCTCTTCATGGTCAGCCCTTTACTTTATTTACATGTTATTTTTGAAGTTACATGTCAAGTTTAATATGTTCCTTTTCATAAAGATAATTCAATTCCGTTCCACAGTTCCTTTATTTATGTAAATCAGACGAGAATCGTTGGTTTATCTCTTCATGGTCAGTCTTTTACTTTATTTACTTGTTATTTTTGAAGAGTTACATGTCAAGTTAAATATGTTCTTTTTCCCTAAAGATAGTTCAATTCCGTTCCGCATTTCCTTTATTTATGTAAATCAGGCTGGAATCGTTGGTTTATCTCCTCATGGTCGGTCCTGTACTTTATTTACGTGTTATTTTTGAAGAGTTACGTGTCAAGTTAAATATGTTCTTTTTCCTAAAGACAGTTCAATTCCGTTCTGCATTTTCTTTATTTATGTAAATCAGACGAGAATCATTGGTTTATCTCTTTATGATCAGTCCTTTACTTTATTTACGTGTGGTCAGCAACTGTTTTTGAGTTTTTGTTTGGTATTTACTTCAAGTGAAAATATTTTCTCTGCTGTTGATTCCGAGCATTAGAAACCTTATGAAGCAACTTATGATGATGGATTCAGAGATGCTCTCTGTCGTGTGGAGAACTATTCTGACTTCCATTCTCAGAGTTGCTTTTGTCTCACCTCGAGCTGCTCTTTTTTGTTTTTTTAATCATGTGCTGTCACTTATTATTTTTGTTGTTTGTGAGATGAAGTGCATCCTTGGTCTGGAGGAAGGACTTGATTACACGCTTTTGACATTCTAATTTCTAAGACCTTCTTGAGGATCAAGTCCTTGTATCTTTTTTATAGGGATCTATGTGAATTTAGTTTTATATGTTATTAGTTTATTCGATTTGGAAAAGAATCTCTTTCTTCCACGACCATCAAGTTTTTAACTCCATCCTGTCTTGTAGTTGTCATTTTCTTGTTCTTCCTTCTTTGTCCTGGGGTTGTCATTTCTTGAAATTTAGATAGGTTGTAGACTGAACTTTTGTTTTTCTTTTCCTGTTCTTTTTACATGAGGGAAATCAGGAAATATGTTAACATGGTACCTAGAATATCCATTTTGTTCTCCAAGCAACCGATGGGTCTATTGTCGATCATAATAGGGAAAGTGTACTGACCTAAATTCCGAATCCCGCTTCCCATTCTTGGCAAGTATGAATCTAGTTTGGCACTTTCCAATTGTTCATGCCTTTAAGTTTGGATATTGCTGAGAATTGGGGCATTCAATACTTTCCATCTTGATTTTTTGCATGTTCATCCTATTGAAAATGATTACTGAAAATTACTTCATTGATGCTCAGCTTTGTGACAACTGACAGCTGCCAATGATGGTAAAGCTGTTGCAAGGCAAGTAATTATTTAGTTACATGTTTCTCCCATACTTTAGGCAATGTTTATCAACTTCAGACTAAAAATAGTGGACACAAGTAGTGTTATCATGGCTATAAACTGAATTTCATTTCTCTTAAGTTGCCTGAAAATACTGGCATCAAGTTGGACTTTGGTCAGGAAGTTGACTTTGCTGGATTAGCTCCACTAATATAATGTCAACTTATTAATCGTTCTTTGTTTGTTGTGTTTGCTTTTGTTTTTTCTGTTATCTATGTGATCCTCTGTAAATTTGTGTAACTAGTGCCTTTTTACCCTAAAGAACAATCATCTTTGCAATTTCTCAAGAACAGAAAAATCTGATCTTGTTTTTAGCTTCTCAGAAGAGGTGGTTTAGTCATCTTTAAACTCATTCCTGCATGATTATGTTGTTTAGTTTATTCTATGGTATTTTTTCCTTCCATTCTTGCATCTCCTTGGATTTTCATACAAAGATTATCCTTCAGGGAAGCTTTGCTTTCAGTGTCTATTACTCTTCACTTATGTATATTCATATGTTATTTGACATGCATTTTCCATTTGCAGCTACTTACCAGAATCCTCAAGGAAATCAGGGAGAGAATGATCCAAATAACACAACAGTGCGTGGTTTGTTTTATTGTTGGTATGAACTATTACTTGTCAAAGTGAATTGACTTGTTAACCTCTTGGCTGCAGATATTCGTTGGGGCCTTGGATCCAAGTGTGACTGATGACACTTTGAGAGCAGTGTTTAGTAAATATGGTGAGCTAGTGCATGTGAAAATACCTGCAGGCAAGCGTTGTGGATTCGTTCAGTTTGCTAATCGGTATTTGAAAAATACCTTCACCTGATTTCTGTTATTTTGCATTGTAATGATTGCCTGTGGCCTGATTTGGTTGCCTGCGTTTGTTGCATTTAGAACTAGCGCAGAGCAAGCACTATCAATGTTGAATGGAACCCAGATAGCTGGTCAAAATATCCGTCTCTCATGGGGCCGTAGTCCTTCTAACAAACAGGTTTGGTCGATGCCCAATTACTGTTCTCTATTTTTGTGTTCATGAATTTCCCAGTGTTTACAGAGAAGGATGCATTTATTGGTTTCGTTCAGGTTCAGCCAGATCAAAGCCATTGGAATGGTGGTGGATATTATGGATATCCACAAGGATATGATGCATATGGATATGCTGCTGCTCCCCAAGACCCTAACATGTATTATGGAGGCTATCCTGGATATGGAAACTACCAGCAACCGGGAACTTACCAACAGCAACAGCAGGTAAAGTAACCTTGGTTTAGAAGTTTTTAGTCTACCAGATATTGTTCATCATAAAATAAGAGCTCAACTCACCAAGGCTTTAGTAGCATAGAGTAAGCTATTTAAGCTCTTAGAACAACGATACTGCAATTTCATCGTTTTTTTTTTTTTGGTTTCTGATTGTTGGGTAATGTAATCTGATGTAAGAGATGCTTCAGGACTTGTCCAGTTGCTGGGTGCACATTGATTTTGATCTTCAGTGAGATAAGGGTCTCATTTTCTCCCTTTTGTTTTATGGTTAATGATGTCTTTATGTTCCTGGTACGTGCAGTGATCTGTTTCCATGGCGGGATTCAAATGCAAGGACTGATGTTAATCAGTAGCCAGAGCAATCTGAGGTTGCAGTTCACTAGTTGCATGGTGTTTGGAGTTTGGCGTTTTGCTATTTGTTCTGGTGTTAGTTTATCAGTGACAAGTGTGCTGTGGGCACCATTTGAGGCATCAATGCACTCTGATATGATCAGTATGGTTTTGTAATACCATGGTGCCGCAATTTGCACTATCTGTCTACTGGATATTTCGTACCTAACCCTCTATAATCATTTAAATTATGGCTTGCTTTATTTTAATGGGATGTTTTCTATGCTTTCCAAGTTTTTTGTGCTTTATATGATTGGAGGCAATTAAGCCATTATGCCAGAGGTCTGCGTTCCAGGGATTTGTATTTTCCTGCGGTGAAGCAATGTCCAAACGGGCGTATAATCATCGCTTACATTGACATGTAGTTTCTAAAATAATTTTCGCAGAAACCGCTAGGAAGATGATTCTTCTTCCTTGCTCTCGGAACAACAAGCATCATGACGAGAGTGATGCCAAGAGACTAGTACTCTATGGATGACGGGTGTTCATGTGTGCCTGTGGTGTAGCCAACGAAGTGCGTCTCCTTGAAATTAGATGCAAAATCTGTGGTTGTATCAAATCAAAATTCGTGATCGTAATTGCTGGTTGAAATTTACCTGGTAAATTGATGTGTCTGAAAGAGTCCTGTTTGCTTGAAAGTGCTAATACATTTCCACAGGAGTTCCATGAATTGCAGAGATTATATGCTCTACTTGCAACTTGCATGTAAACGCTGCTTTTTTTTTTTTTTTTATTTATTTATTTACGTGGGGTGTACGGACCAGCTTGCGCGTACCACGACTAATCCTCACGGCCCACTGAATACCCTGCAAACCCAATAGGCATGTAAGGCACCGTGGGGGTGACAAGCGTGCAAGTCAGGGCTCGAACCTACGTGTAATGGAAGGAGACAAGCTCCTTTCACCGCTAGGCCAAACACTACTACACGTGGAGTGTTGCTGTGTGGAGACGCGGTCTGCCGACCATTATTTCCACAATCGACCTTCCTATTAGTTTACACGTTATATATTATTTTATTCCAGTACAATTTACTTAGTTTTATTAATAAAAATATTATTTATCTTTAATATTTATTTTTATTTAATTTATAAATTTAATGTTTGATAAATAAATTTAAAATAAAAGTAAAATTCATAAAACAAAAACACTTTACGTTAAGAAGAAAATTATAAGAATTTTATAATTATGAGATTCATAATACATAAAAGTAATGTTTCTAAATATTTCTGGTCAATCCTCTCTCAATAATATATATTTACTAGTTATTGAGACTTGTATAAATTATATTTTTTTTAATAAAAAATTTTTATAAGCTAAGATATGAGGGATGCTTAAAACTAATATGAGGGTGTTTGTCAGATAACATATGAAAGTATTTTGAGTGATAAAAAAATGATTCATCAATTTAGGTAAAATAGATAAACTATTCCACATGTTCTTTAATAATATAATTATTAAATTTTTACACAAGGTGGAATGAGATTTAAAAAGAGTTTCAAATCTTATTCAATGATCAATAACTAATGTTATAAATAAATATGATTTGGTGTGGAAAACACACTTAATACTAAAATGTTTAAATTGAAACATTAGATAATAATTACATTAGGAATTACTTATCATTTTTCTAATATTTGAGGGGATTGTGACACATTTCTAGATGATGCACTTGATTTTCAAATATAAATTAATTAATTGTTGAATTTATAACAAATTAAATTGTTTAATTTATTCAATTCTATTAATGTAGAATTATAATTTATATTTGAACCAACTTAATAGGTCACACATATTAAAAATCATTAATCAGAAATTAATATGAGATAATTAATCAAGTGTGATTCTATTGAAAATAATTTTAGAAATTAAATATTAAAATATATTTAATTCAGTAATTATAATTCTAGTCCTATAATAATCAAGTAGGAACTTGATTGATTAAATTTATAAAATTATTCTTAAATAATATATGAATATTATTTAAAAAAAAAATTAATATTTTATCATTTATAAATTTTATAACATTCTCTATAAATATAAAAGCCTAGCTTATTATTTTGGTAGATAAAAAAGTTATGTCAAACAATTTTTTTTTAAATGCTATGCAACCATAAAATCAAAGCTAAAACTTTACACTTGATAAATCCCTCTCTTCTAAATAAAAATATATAATATTTTTCATTAGTAATTTGTGTAAATTACTATTAAAATTGAATAATTGAACAATTCATAGTTTACAATAACCCACTCTTCATCTATATATTCAAAGCTGAAAAAAATTCAAATCTTTAAATAATGTTTACATAAACTCTAAATATATCTAGTTTGTCAAACAATATTCTTAAAACTCCCGAATAATTTTTAAATTTCTCAGCCGAGATGAATTTCAGAACCCAACTCTTCCTTCAGACATCACATGTACTGCAGAGGATGATATTTCTTACACGCATGGTCAGCTGGAAACCGATGCTTTAAGCACACCTTTAACTGGCAATTTTTGCAGGTGCATGTGTTAGAGAAGGTTAATATCTCCTTGCAGCGCTTAACAGCGCAAGTTGGCTTCTTCTTCTTCCTCCTTGGGTCACACTCTCCAGATTTCTCATGTTTCAGCAACACCACTTTCTCAGCATCCTCGTTGCATCCAGTAGTCTCAATAGACGCCGAACATGTTTCACAAACAACTACTTTTCGACTCTTGTGGTCTGATTTCGGACAGTCATGAGACTTGTAGGATCTATGCTCTAAACAAAACACCTGCAAGAACACATGATTAAGGCTATAATATTCCACGCTAAACAAAGCTGCATGCATAAATTTGAGTCACCCTTGATTACCTTTCGACAACCATTGCAGTTGAAAGGCAGAAAATCGAGCTGCTTGCATTCAGGATGCTGGCAGTGTCTTCCCAGATCTGGAAAAGCCTCTGTTCCTCCTCCCATCTTTTTTTATCCCTTTAAATTTCCTCTAAGATTAGAATTTGCAGATTGCCATGTAGGAGGAGGTTTGTCGTTATTTATAGCTTTGCCACTTGCTGGCTTGGCGCCTAAGCCATCCTGACTCCTCTTTCGTGTTGCTTTCAGCTTTGTATTTGGCATTCTAGTTGTTGATGTTTCTAGGCCACGCGGTTGAGGTTTCCTTTTTTGACTAGTCTTCTCTCTAAATTTCAATCTAGTCTCTATTTTCACTCTTACTCTTACTAAATTAATCATGTTAGTATTTGAGATTATAATATATAGTGCTTTTTAAAACAAATTTTAATTAAAAAAATATTTTTTGACATTAACATATTAAAAATATTAAAAAACACTAAAAAAATATCTATTTAATATCATTTTAAATCAAAAATACTTTTGAAAATCATTTAAAAAGTGAAAACAAAAGCAGAAGTTGTGCTATTCACCCCTCTAAAACTATGCTTGACATTGAAAATTTTTAAATTGATACTTTCTTAGTTATTTTCAATAATTTTGATGTGTTAATAAAAAATAAAAAAATAAAAATTATTTTAACATATTTTTAAATAAAAATTACTTTTAAAATATCATACATCATAATATCACATACACACACATGCACCAAGTGGAATACTTTTGTTTTTTTGTTGGGTACTTGACACTTTCTATTTTTAAATTTTTTTTTTTTCAAAAGTAAAATCTAAATTTAAAAAACAAACTATATTTCAATCCATAAATAAATAAAACCATAAAATAAAATCTATACATAAAGTTCATATATTATATTAAAAAAATAAAATTACAACTCTATAAAAAAAACATTAGTAATATATAAATTTGTTTTTTATATTAAAGGAAAATATTACCCTACTCGCAGCAGGTAAATAAAAAAATATGAAACTAAAAATTGCAGTGAAATACGGAATCAGAGAGTTCCATCTTTATAAAATGTAATAAAGACTTGCTAAATCAAGCATAAACTATAAATTAAGAAAAAACAGACAATAAATAAATAAATGTTACTTAACTTTTCGAAAAGACCATATAATTCATTACATATATTGAAGTTCGTTATTTTCCGATTAATTTATAGATAAATTAAAACGAAATTTATTTTCATAAATATATAAAAAATACACTTGCTGTATTGAATTTGTTGTGATTCAGTAAATGAATTTACAAATTTAATAATAAATCTGGGAAATCTTGCAGAAAATACAGTGAAACGACCAAAGCATGCCATGATGCCAAGGTTACAGGGCTTATTACATATAAAGCCAGCATAAACTCATCAAACCAACCAAGACAGCAGCACATGCATTGAAACACAGGCAGAAAAAAACTTTTCTCTGTTCCAAATTCCTTGATTCTTTCTTTAGATCTCTCCTTCCTCTGTCAAGCACAAACCCTGGTCTTTCTTTATAAGAAAGGAAAAACCTTTTTTTACATAGGCATACAATAAAGTTTCATTATTTTCTTTTTTGGATAAAAACAGAGATGGGTTACAAAAACAGAGCAGAAGCTGAAACAGAGGCATGCTTAAACGAGGCTTTATTGTTTGCTACTATGTGTGTAATTGGACTCCCTGTTGATGTGCATGTTAGAGATGGTTCTGTCTACTCTGGAACCTTTCACACTGCTTCTTTTGATAAGGAAAACGGTGAGGTTTTCTTTATTCTTTTTCGGTCTCCATTGGAAACTTAAAGATTACTTCTTTTTGGCATTAGTTTTTGAATTACTTGAAAGTTATGATTTTCGTACAAAATGGTATCTGGGTTTTGATTTTTGTGAGCAACCCTATCTGGGTTTTTGGTTTTATTGATAAATAGTCATCCACTCTTTAGAATGGATGAGATCAGATTGGATTCTGATCTGGGTTTTTGCCTATTTTGTTAATATATAATTCTGTTGCTGCTTTTGTTTTGTACCCTATTTGTTTATGCAATGGAGGGTCCACTATTTTATTTGGTTAACACAGACTGGATTTGGTACTTTTGGAAATAAGACTTCATAAAGATTGGAAATTTTAAGTGAGATTTATCATTTATGAAGTTTAGTTACCTGCTTTGTGTAGGTGTTGTTTTGAAGGAAGCAAGATTGACTAAGAAGGGAAAATCTGATGCAAATGTAGCTAATGGGAGTGTGATAGAGACACTTGTAATTCTTTCGACTGATATTGTCCAAGTTGTTGCTAAGGTATGCAACTCTTTCTATTTTAAATTCCTTTCAGTTATCCGGATGCAACGTTGGAGAATCTGCCTAATATATGTGCTGCTTTGTATGCAGGGAGCTCTGTTTCCAGCTGATGGCGTCACTGGGAATATATCTGGTGGCAATGTAGAAGCTGCTTTAACGAATGCTCCGTCTTCTGAGATTGTAGCGAGCGAGGCAAAGAAATCTAACAAGTTCACTGTGGATAAAAAGAAATCTAATCACAACAGGTATTGTCTTGTTTTGGACTTGGGCTGTAATATCGTTGTTAACTGCTTAAATTTAATTGTAAGCTGCAATAATTTAAAGTCATATATCTTATTGGTTTACTTTTCTTTTCAATAATACATTTGTTTTCAAGTTTATTGTTTGTTAAATTCTGATAGTTTCTCCAAGTGCACCATTTTTTATTTCCATGTTCTGTACATGCCTGGAACTACCTTAGAGCCTTTGCATGCATGCAGACATACCTATACATATACATACTGTTTTTTGAGTAATTAAGAAAACTACTACCTGTTTTAGTACAGAAATCTGGTCAAGGAAATATTTCTGCATCCAAGCAACCTTTTTTTTTATTTGACTATATAACATGGACTAATTGTACCTATGAAGTAGGAGTTCAGTCAAAAACAAGAACGGTAATTCCCATGGTCTTATGCCGACAAAAGCAGGGAAGGATCCTGAAGGGAGAAAAATGCCACCAAATCAAATAGGAAAAAAAATGGAATTTGAACATGGGGAAAGAGATGGTGTACATATCCCAAAGGTGAGGCTTCTATCTTCTTTTCTTCTTTTTTGTGGTCTACTAGGGAAACAGTTTCCGTGAGCTTGTCTAGATATTCATGAAAAGATCTCCATAAAAGATGTTAACTTGTGTTTGGGTTATTAACATCTCTGTCGTGAGAGACCTATATCAGCAGCAGCAAAGTTGGCTGCTTTTAAAATTTCAGAGCAGCCTTTTTGTTGAAGAGTGTTGTTCTTATTTAAATGCTACCTAGGGTGCATCTTGTTATGGTTTGGATGATCAGATTGATAAATGGCTTGAAGGAAACCCAGTCAATTACTGCTTCAATGACTAAGTGGTAATTTAATATCTGTAGCAGGATACTTTTTTTACAATGCTCGTGAGAGAGAGAGATATTCTTACACTTTTACTCCCTTTCTTTCTAATTTTTTCTTTAATTTCTGTTTTGTGTATGCAGAGAGAAGCTTCTTCTGGTGACTTAGTTACTGGAAGGTATAAATTACCAGTCTTTTCCAAGTTTCAAGTGGGGTTTGCACTGTTGGATGCCTTAAAATCTTATCCTCTGCATTCTTTGTTTTTTATACTTGCATTGGGGTTGCAAACTGAACTGGCCCTTGTCTGTTCTAGCACAAATTTTCTCCACTAAAGCACTACATGATTATTGATTCATATTTCTTTTGAATATAGACACAAAGGATTAGAGTCTATGTTTGCATTAAATTGTGGTGCTCATTAGCTTAAATGTAAATTATTTACTTTATGGAATCCCTTCTAACTTTCAAATTTCTGTCAGTTATTTTTCTGGCAGACAGACTAGAGATGACAGGTCACAGGAGGAGCAGGGTCACTATAAACAGAAGTTTGATTTTCAAACAGAAAAGAGTGTATGTCATGACAGGCATAATTTATTTCCTTGCTTGATGCTCTGTATTTGTAGAAGTGGAAACTATTTGCTCACTAAGTCGTTGATGTAGATTTTTACCTGTGCATTTGATTTGTGCAGGCTGATGAAGTTCATAGCCCAAATGAAATCAGTAAGCTCAACTTCCACACTGGGTTTAACTATTTGATCCATAACATGCTATACAGATCTGCCTTGTGCTTATTAATATCTTTTATGAAAAGAAAGCAGAAGAGAAGGCATGCCTTCTTTTACCTGTAAAAAGTTCTGATACAAGTGAAAATGTTTGTTATAAAATAACCATGATGTAAGGCTTTGCTCTCTGAACTTCATTATAACTATAAATTGCTAGTAGATTTTGGGTTTTGTGTCAGTTGTATTATGTGAGTTAACATTCATGCAGATTTAGTGGCAACATGCCATTTTCTGAATTTTTTTTTTATTATAACACAGGGCCCTCTGTGATGAGATGCATCTAGGTGATAGTTTGCCTGTAGAAGCTAAATCTTGCCATGATTCCCGGAATTTGTCTTATATTTTTTAAAATGTATCTTCTTTTTTCCATCCTGATTCTGTTCTTTTTTAATTGCTTAATGTGCTCCATGCAGCGGGGCCTCATGACAGTGAAGCAAAACCCATTGCAGAAGGGCGAGTAACAGTGAAGCTGTTGCCTAATGTTGGATCTTGTAATCCTGATGGTGATCCTATGAAGCCAGACAGTCAATACTGTGGAAGGCCAGCTTCTGCAGGAACCACTTCTCCTAGTTCTGTTTGTGCTACAGTTTCTACTGCTTCCAATCCAATGGTTGATGTTCCTTCACAATCACACTGCAGCTCATCAGCAAATTCTACTGATGTGGCCTCTCCACAAGTTTCAGAATCTAATAGAAGTTCCAAGGTAAAAACCGTGTTTGTTTCAACGTTTTGGTACTGACATCTGTTTCATCTCACATCTATTTACTGTCAATTTTTAGGGGAGTCATCAGGTCACTGTCTATCACATTAGTAAATCATATAATTTATCGAGCCAGCACTTTTTATGAGTATCTGTGAAATAATTTTTTGAATTGCTAGTGCAATTCATATAGGATATAATTTATAATCTATACCACAAGCATCTGTGGAAATCATTGGGTTTGGTTAGATTGCAGTTTCTTTGGAATTTTGGAATATTTATGACATCAATTTTATAACCATGCTGATGTTTTTTGGCATTCTTTTCTTTCAGGCATTCAAGCTCAATCCAGGAGCAAAAATTTTTTCTCCTTCCTTTTCCAATCCTACATCAGCTAATGCTCCAGCAGGACCAGCAGTTCCAAGTATGGCTTACATACCAAGCAACTCTCCTGTGGTACCTGTTGCTGCTGTCCAGCCAGAAGTTGGGATCCCTTATGCACCTCGATTATCTGTTCCTGCTAAGTTTCCCCCCTACAGTAACTTGACAGCTGTAAATGGTGGCAGTGGTTCTCAATTTTCACAACCTGTATGCATTAGTCAACTTCTTGCTTCTTATTGAGTAATCTCTCATATTAAATTTAAGTCACTTGAGAAAATGTCATATTTAGCACCAACAACTTTCTTGTCAACTCTTGGAATTTTTTTTGACTGAACTAGCCCCACATTGTGAAAAGAGGAATTCTTTTCTACTTCTCACAGGGTTATTTGGCTATAGGTTGCTGGACACGTGGGAACTAGAGTACAGTCACTTAGATATGCTGGTCAGTATCATGCTGTTCAGGCAGCACCATCATATGCACCACCAAATTCTCAATCCGTAAGTGAAAGGAAGATTCATGTGATATTCATCTGGCAGTTTATTTCTGGTGCTCATTTGTTGCTTTTTTGGTCAGGAGATTTGTGACTTCTATGGTTATTTATGAGTTTCTAATCTGGCTCTGTTTCCCTAGGTTATGGTTGGACGGATGGGGCAGCTTGTGTATGTTCAGCCAGTTTCTCATGTAAGATACAGAATCTGCAACATGAAATAACTAAGCACTCTGATGTTTGATGGTTACAGATACAACAAACATTTAGTTTCTGGTTGTTGCAGCTCGTATCTAACTGTTTAATGTATGTTAGGGAGCAATTTATGCTATATTTTGGGATGGATCAATTTATGTCGTTATCAGATCTTGAGATAGTTCATAGAACTAGCCTTGGGCAGTACTCTAGCCACATACTGATTCTAAATATCCTACTGTGGTTATATCTCTAATTATTTATATAGCTGGTTTGAACTAGTGCTATACCATGCTTCTCTTAACACAGATGCTTTTTTATCAACCACATTATAATAGAATAATGCTGGTTGTGTGCATCATTGATCCAAAGCTAGATAGCTAATTAGCTAAGATTTTGATATGCAATATTGTGCAAAAGAAATCATAATTGTCTATATAACAGTTAACAAAGTCTGCAGCTATGCAACCTTGTGCTTATATCTTGAATATCTAATGGTAGGCTTATTTCCTTGGTTTTCATGTATAACTTTCTAATTTTCAACACTTCTTTTTTTATTGAGGCCGATCCTCTTGCATGTCAAGTCATCTCAAGTGTTTAATTTTCTTCTTCCTTGAAGTTGTTATCCAAGCATGCATGGTATATTTCTCTAATTTTTTTGTTGTGTTTGTTTTATGAAAGGATTTGATTCCAATTGCAGCACCCATATCAAATGTATCTGCACGTCCTCTGTTAACTCCACACCAGGTGCAGTATCCTAAACACCAAGGTATAAAAAAAGGGGTTTTTCTTTTATTGGTAGAAACTTTGTACTATGTTGCAGGAGATTCTGGTTTCAATGGTTTGTCATTGCACTTTCTGCCATCAATTAGGTTGCACATTCAATGTAAGCTTAGATGTTTAATGTTTTATGTTACTGACTACTTGAAGGGACAACCTAATTGCTAAGCTAGCAAGTCAGCATAAGTTTTTCAAAAATTGGCTGAAAATTCCCAACTTCTGTCAATGTCTGCAAGGGGTTGATAGTCAATATGTGCAGAACCATTTGGGAGATTGATTCCATTTTGAGTTTCAACTTGATGAGAGAACTTGAAATTTAATGCTGTAACTCAAATATAGGGAAGGTGATTATATTATTTTCTGGTATTGTTTTTAGAGCTTCAATGAATTTGCTGCCCCTCCCACCCACAACACAAGAAGGAAAGAAAATTAAGAAAAGATTTCTACAGCATAATGTAATTATAGATGGCAGCACCATGTCCAGCATGGCATCTTATAAGATCAACTGTAGGATATTTTTCAACATTGGAAGATTAAGTCTCAAAATACGAGACTGAAGATGTTGGTCTCAGCATCTCTATGTTTTTCTGTGCCTGTTTATTGTGTATTTGAGAAGATTGATTTTTTTTTATTCTTTTCCATTTGGATCGCAGGAGGTGCAACCGGCCAAACCTTGCAGCTTTGTGTGACTCCGCCTTTTGTAGGTGGACAGCAACCATTTGTAGAGCCAAGCCACATTCCTTACCTTCAGCCACCCATCCCTGCTATCCGTCCCATTCCAGTTCCAGGATCTAATACTCTCTTTGGCACCAAGTTTCCATGAGCATGCTCCACAGTGAAATCAAGATTCTTTTTCATGAACAATAAATTTTTGGTCCATAGTTTTTACTGAAACGCATTTAGCAATAGGTTATAGTTGTATCTCTCATCTTCAAGGTTTAACTGGTTTCAATGACTCTTTGTAAAATCTGATTTGAGGGTAATTTTTTATATGGTGATTCATGTTGTAAACATGTAGGGTTGGTTTTCTGTTTCGGTGGAAAATTCTGAGCTCC